CCCCCCCCCCCCCCCCCTCTCTCTCACACACACACACACAGAGTAGTGAATATTACGAAGTGGATTACTATGTCACAACGGATATATTTCATGCAAAGGCAAAGCTTCGTTTCATCATCTCTTTATGTCAATATCACATCCTCCACGGACTTCCTATTGCATATTCCTTGGAGAAACAGTCAAGAAATGGAGCAAAGAAGCGAAACAAAAGAGAAGCTTCTATAACACATTTTTCTTTAAATGTTTTCTTGTAATAGGTCATCCGACCTACGCGTATAGATAACAACAAACCACACATTATTTCAATAAATTTAGAGTCAGTTACATGAATAATTTTCTCTACTTCATCCATATATAAAGCCCGGATCTTTTGCAACTAAAACACGTCTCCAGTAGAGAACGCCCAACAACATGTATATATGGAACCATGATTTGACAAAACCCAAGTTTAGAACGAGCTACAAAAACATAGAAAAACGCCTGAATATATTGAGGAAGATGTATATGTCGACTACCTCCATTTTGTCACATGCAATAATAGAATGCGATTCTTCAATGTAGGTTCCAAGAAGAAAGATGGAAGAAAATGCCTATAAAAGTTACGGTGCAATATTTACTGAAGCGAGCCGAAGGACTCTTTTTTTCTTATACAGTTAGCTAGCCGCTCAAATATGCATGTGATGATGATCTTTTGACATCACGTCAGTGCTAAAATAAGCGAGCGGTAAACATTGTATCAAGAAAACTATGCATGCAACTGGTAATAAACATTATCTCAACCTGAAAAGGAGAATACTAATAGCAAGTTTAATATATATATAAAGGTTCAACATCGCCGCCAAATGCTGAGATTTGTAGGCTTAAATTTCCATTTTATGGAGATTAAATATTTTTACTCTTTAACATCTGATCTTTTAAACTTTGGGAGTGTGCAAATGAGGAAGGCCATAAAGATGTGAAATTTCACAGCACAATGGTAACTCATTATTCAAAGATTTCTTATACATAAGCCTCTGGGTAAGTTTTTGATTATATAAGAAAAAGCCTTAAAAACCGTTTTAAAACTACCTTCAGTGCTTCTATATAAAAGTAAAAATAGAAGGTAAACAAGGGAAACTTAATTTAAAACTCATCTGCGCAAACTTGTCTTCTTCTCCTTTGTCAGACTATATTTTATGTATGTCACTTAATTCGACTTTGAGCACCCATGTTTCGGCAGTCAATTGGCCAGAAACACATAGAGATGTCCCACAAAACTCTTGATGCAAATCCCAGCACGAGCTATAACCATGCCAAGTAATTCCTGTTGGTTATGAAAAGTGTGGAGAAGAATACAGCATAGATCTCAGGTGATCATTGGAGGTTGACGAAGCTGTTATAGAATTTGAATGCAATACACTTGAATCTCCTGGAGTGCCATTCCATTTATCTGGACTTGCATTCGCTCCCTTGGAGGGTGGCACTTGAAAATTTGCATTCTGAACAATTGGAGATCCACGACAGATAGAGTAGCCCTGTGGCAGATAATGATAGAGAGGATTCGGATGCCTTGAATCTCTCATTGATGCCGAAATCCCAACTGTAGATCCCCCAACTTTCATATTTCCCTCATCACATGTAGCTTTAATTACTGAACCAGATTTGCTCTCTGGTGTATCATCAATAACAATTATTTCCGTTGTGGCCCTGCCGCAAGGAACTGCACTCCTGAGATGGGTGGCAGAAGAAGCTCGCACTTTCTCGATATCATCGGTAATTGGAGTAGTACCCACTCTAATCCTGGACCCAAGTTGTTCAGGGGTCAAGTTGCACCCGCCCATGTATTCATGACACCCCATTGATGATGGGAAACTCCAACCATAATTCTTATTTGAAAGCATGGGCATTGATGGACGAGGAAATAATAGTTGTGTCTTATGATTGCTGTGGTTTACAGAACCATTTGATGAACTGACATCAAAATGCAATGTCTGCATCCTGCTATTCTGCAAATGGTCAGAGGTAACTGGAACTTGTGAAATCATATGATGTAACGAGTGGTCCTCATTGTGAATCTTTCCCAAAGTGACACTACTATCAACCCAAGATAGTGGCTGTGCATGGTCATTCATAATACTTGATGGAGCAGGATTGGTCTCAGCAGACACATCTTTGTCTTTATTTACCACCAAGTTCTTTCCCATTAGTCTAAGAATAGGAGTAGAAATAGGTGTAGCAGACTCATTATGATCACGATTTGGGGACTTAACCTCAGAATTTATAGAGAACTGCATAGGCCTATGCCCAATGGGTGATTTTGCAACAAGTTCTTCAGGTTCTGAACTTGACTTGCTCCTGGAGACTATTTCCGACCTCGAGCTGAAACTTTCGAACTTTCTCTTCGCAAAATTACCCATTTGCTTTTCTATGGCAGGAAGTGCAAGTGAAGACATAGATCTTCTCTGTAAAAGTTGTGATCCTTGATTGTTTAAAGCAGAACCCGATAAAGCACCCTCCTTCCTAGAGCAACAGCACGGCTGACTGTTTTTGAATCTGAAAGGACTCGATTCAGCAAACATCAAATCAGTCCTTGACTGGTCCAGGTTGAGCTTTCCTTCTGCACTCACGGCCGGCTCGAAAGGACTGGAACTCTCAACCACAGGATCAAGGCTAGCTTGGGAGAAACTAGATCTAGTCTCAGGTTGAACACCATGATCAGGTTCTAAAGACAACTTCTCCAAGGAAACTGAATAAGATCTTGCTGCAATGGAGTTGGACATAGCTGACATGGCAGAAACAGGAGATTCTGATGAATCCATATCAATTAATTCATGCTCATCTTCAGAAGATTGAACCCTGCAGGTAGTTAACGATGAATTTCCATGAAGATCGTCTGAGCCCATACGCCCAGGACTTGGCAAAAAGGATCCGGGTGGTCCAGGAATAGGTATCGGATCAACATCCACAAAGTAATTTCTAGGTTCTTCGTAAGTATCCAACTCTGCCACCATGTGGACATTGTGAGTGATGATATGTTTCCCCACTTCATCCCTGCAGAACATCTCTTCACCACCCAATACTGCCTTAACTGGAAAAGGTTCCTTGTTTGCTTCAAGATACTGTTGTGACAGACCTTGCACATCAGAAGTTTCAGCAAGCACAGGGAATGCAGAATCCAAAGATTTGCTAAAAACCAGAAAAGTTCCCTCGTCAGCCATGTCAGGGATTGATTCACAGACAATGTCATCCGAATTCTCAACCTCTTTTCCCGAAAGTTCCATATCATTGGATATAAAAGATGGAACACTGTCACTGGCAAAAGAATCAATCTTCATCCCAGCCCGGCGACTATCAAATTCAGGAGAGTGCTGTGAGCTTTTCAAAGCCTTGGTTTCCTCCTCTCTACAGATCATAAATGCCCCTCTCTTCTTACGGATTTTCAAGACCCTAGTTTTATCAACAAATAATTTATCTGTTGTTTCTAATTGAGTTGAATTTTCACACAGATCTTCTACCAGGTGATGTTGCCTAAAAATTGTGGATTGGGATGCAAGGGCTTCTTCATCTGATCCTGACATGTAATGCATATGAGGCTTCTTCCGGTCCAAACATTTTCTAATCAAACTTTTCTTAGAGCGATCAGGAATAGAAGCTTGGCTGACAATGGACTCATTCTTCCTCAAAGATGATAGTTTCTTGCCTCTAGATGAGAATGCATGATCCACAGAAATATTCCTTAAAGATGAAAATTTCTTACCCCCAGATGAATATGCATGATGTTGGGACGATCTTGAGCTGATAAAAGAACTATGAGAATTTTTAGTGGGACTGAGCTCCATTCTCTTGTCACTCCGAGAAGGTATATTCTTCCTCAACTGCTTCTCGCTACACTTAGATAACATGAGATGTTTCTTCTTTCTATTGTGACAGCTTTGAGAATCCGACAAGGAAAATCCTGCCCTCTTTCTCGAAGAAGGATCCTTACATCCATCATGAGAAAAAAGAGACAAATTCTCCAGCCTTCTGCTGCTTTCAGGAGGTAATTGTGGATTCTGATCAGATAAAACTGCCGAACTCAAACTACTAGTTCTCTTCAAAAAAGGGTCAGTTTGTGAAGACTGACGACTTTTTACTTGCAAGTCTTTAGTTACACCTTTGTCTGAATGCTGATTTTCACCTTCAAGATTAATCTTCTTCAACAGACCAGTTCGCTTGGAGCCTACCCACTGTCTTGTAATTCCAAAATTATTTAGTTTCGTCTGATCACAAGCTTTCAAGGGTTGTGTCAAACATTCTTCTTTCTCGCAACTTTCTTCAGGAGGAACATTTCTTTGTTCACTATCATCAATCTGTTAACAAACCATGATTAATTCGCATTTTGCTAAAGTATAATAAGCAATCTAGTCATTTGATAAAGAGAGCAACTCGTGATACTTTGATGCAAACACTATAACTAATAAGCTAAACAAAATTTCAGGTAATCTAAATTGCAAATATACATTTTTTATCAACAGAATACCAAAAATGAGAACATGAATCCTGCGTGTTAGATTGAAAACCAAAAACAAAGAATCATACGAATCAACAAAAAGTCGCCAATCACAACTTAATTCTAACTTTTTGGTGCCAAGATCTTGTGATTTCATAATAAACTAAATGAGAAAGGAATATTTCCCTAGCTTCATTCAAGGCCGACAATCAAAAAGCTGAACATATGCCATAAATGGCAAAGCTGGAAAAAATTGATTGGCAAACAAGAAAGCACAGCAACAGTCAAGAACGAGCTGTAAAGAAGTTGAAGTAACACACCTTGTGACAATGATCATGCCTCAGAAAGCAACTATTTTGGCCATGAGGAGTACATTTCATAAGCTTGTGTTTCCTAATGAGATTTTTCTTCTTACTCAATGAAAATTTGCTTTCTTTGTCTCTTTTCTCAAGTTTCCTAGGTCTACAATCATCTTTAGCATTTGAGTTTGATTGCAGATCATTGAACTTTGATAGAATGCGAAGTTTTGTGCCATTGGAGTCAATGTAGACTGCAGCTTCTTCATTGATGTCCTCAACATCGGCAGGAGTTGCTATGTCTTTCTTCTCTTCAACAGACATCCCTATATTTGGAGCAGGAAAACCCAAGTTCGAGGCCCAGTTTGTTCCGTTTCTTCTATCAAGATCCTCCAACGTAAAATGTTTGGCCGTTGCATATACATCCACCATCAATCTCGTCTTTCTTGGCTTTATTCTATGCTTAATGACTGCGTGATTTTCTGTGCACTTGATTGTTGACTCCCCAGAAAGACATTGATCAATGTGGGCATTTAAAGTGGTGTTAGAAGAAGATGAAAAGGTCTTGCATACCGGGCACACTTTTGAAGCCATTGTTTCCGACACCACAGAAGTGTTTGCACCCCCAACTTCTTGCAACCTTGGGTCAGCAACGTTACTCAATTTCACAATCAATCTGCACTTCTTAACTGTTTCTTTAATTGTACTTTCGCTCTTGTTGGATGATGGAACTACAGATACAGGCTTTTCCGTCAAGGATCCTGGGAAATTTTTAGTTTCTGCTTCCAAGCAAGGGCTTTGTACTTTGGGAATCTTCTCTCTTTCAGAATAAGAATGACTCGTTATGGTTGATGGAAATTCTTTATCTTCTTGAGATTCAGTTGGATTAATGTCTCCACAATCCACATTCAGCTTATGGCCATGCCCAATATTGGTATAAGAGACGGACACAGGATGATCACTTGAACAGGAGAGCTTCACATCGGAATTGCTTATACTTTCTCTGTCACTGGTAATGCTTCCAACATCACATTTTTCAATTGACGAGTTTCTTGCATAATCAAGAGACTGAAAAGGTGGCAACAGATTGGTCACGCCATGTTTCAAACAAAGTTGCAATTTTTTCTGAGAAAATGGCCAATTCGTCTGGATATCCTTGCTCCGTGTATTGAGAACATAATCCCTACAGTAAAATTTATGATTGAGATATACAACTAATATCACATAAACAACAAATTCAGGAGAAAATAATGGGGGTATTTGAACACACCAATTCATAAAATGAATTGCAAATATCACAAGACCCTCCTATTATGCACCTATTTTAGAAAAAAGAACTGTATAATGAGGAATAAGACTGCCCCCAAAGAATGGCAGCTTTTGACAGAGGATTTAACCACAAATAGATTTGCAAGAAATTCGGATTCCCAGAGTGAGAGGGGTTTTGGAAGAACATGAAATGACCATTACTAATTACCCAAGAATAGCAAGTCAAAATTGACAATCTAACGGTGGTCGTTAACAAATTGGAAGAACAACTTTATAAGACACGGAAGACCAGAAACTGCTAAAATAAGGTCATTAGGCCAAAACTAGGCAAAGAAAAACAAATAAAGAGAGAAAAAATTGTATATTCATGAAGCTTGATGGCAAACCCATATTTGGATGAATCAAAATCAGAAATATGCAACTGGGATCTGGCCAACAGAGAAAATAACAAGAAATAACATGACAGAAGTGTAAAACTTGGAAGATTTATGAAAGATGAAATTTTTCATCCATTTATTACCTTATGGAGAATTTGGACAGATCTACCTCAAGCTGCTGCTTATTATCAGAAGCCCTCTCATGACTATTACAGCTTTTCAGTTGTGAGATTTCACAAGGACACTGGGGATCTGGTGGAGGGTTTTCAATGGATAACATCTGCTAACAGCCTTTTTCTCCCTTCTTGTGCTGTCTAGGCAACAGTCACAAGAACCTATTTTATCTCCAAAACAAGGCCTTATCTTACTATACTTATCCTTCAGCATAACAGTAGCCTAAGGCCTCACTCAACAAAGGTCCCCAACCCCACCACCACCAATACCACCTCTAAGATCAAAATCAAACAACCCCACCTAAATATTGTACCTTTTCTTCAACAATCCATCAACCCTGCAAAGAAGAGAGAAGAATATCAAAACATAAGATCAGGAACTTTGGGAAGAAAAAACAGACCCACAAAATACGAAGGGCAGTGGAAGACTCTAGACTCCTCTAAGAATGATATTTCATGTGCCTGGAAGGTGTAAACTTGAAGCATCTTATATGAATATAGCTCTCTGGAAGAGTCAGATTGAGCAAGGAAATAAACAAAATTTGGCAAAGAAAGAAGGCAACAAGCAAAGATCGACCCTCGTGAATCGTTATTTTATGTGGGCAAACCAAGTTAAAGTACATAGATTTGCTGAGTCTTTTCAAGATGGGAAACAATTAACCTTGCTCACTTGAAAAATGAAATTCAAAGAGAGCAAAATCAAGATGATCTGATGACGAGGTGATGAATCAGATAGATTCCAAAAATGAACCCAAAAAAATCTCACGCATACACATGCATATGGTATAAACTGACCTCAAAATCAAAGTAATCGGTAAAATATTTACATGGTGTAAAATGATTCAGAAGAGATGGAAAGACCCAGACCCCAAAATCAAATCTTTAGTCAGTCGAGTGAACAGTAGACATGAGAAATGCAAAATCCAGTTTCAACGCATCGACCAGATTTATTTTGCTTTGATCTAAGGAAAAACTATGAACGAAACTCTGTCAAAAATTATGTAAGAAAAACGCCAACAATTGAATGACAGTATAGATCATAAAATCACAAAAAATAGTTGGAGGTTAAACCCTATCAACACTCATAGCCCAGCTCAAAATCGATTAAAAAAAACACACACCAGCACAAAACATCAAGAAAATCTTACAAGTTTTCAAAAAAAAAAATTAAGAAAAGCCCAAAATCACTGATTTTTGAAGGCAAAAAATAAAGAAAACCCCCTTAAGGATAAAAGAAATTCCTGGAACAAAATCAGATACAGACCTGTTAATTTTGAATCTGTATATATTCTTAGTAGGAAAAATGAAGAGGAAATACAGTCATCGAATGCTTAAAAGGCTTTAGAAGAGTAACAGCGATAGACAAAGAAAAAACAAAGAAAATAGCTCAAAGCAAGAGAGAAGATGCATCTATAGAGAGAGAAGACGTATGTATTAGTTTATCTATAGTAACGAGGGAAAACAGCACCACCCACTCACACATCAAAAGGGGCATCAGGTTCTTCACTCCACAAAAAAGTAGTTTTATACATTAAACTCCTCACGATTCACCTTCCCCTTGTGAATATGCGTGAGAGAGAGACGGAAATATTCAAGAATTTTACATGTAAGAGAGAGAGAGAGAGAGAAGGTAAAAAAATATATTATATTCAGAGAGAGAGAGAGAGAGAGAGTATTATACTCTACAGAGCTGTCCTAGCCTATACTAACCCTACAGGGTTCTCTGCATTTGCTCAAAAAATTTCCAGCTTTCTTTATTCTTGATATTTTTGCATTCATATATGTGCTAAAATACAATTTTAGCCCTGTCATTTTTCTGAAATTACAAGAGACTGTAACCCTAAAGCTTAAACGACAAGAATCATTTTGGTGTTGACAATGATAACCATGGTCGATTGTTCTAATTAATTAATATTAACCTGTTGTTTTAGCTTCACAATGATAACTCTTCATTTCTGTTTTATTGACTTATCTTTTCATTTTTCTTTGCTAATCATTCAATAAGCAATAAATTAGTATTTGTGATTAATTATTCTTCAAATAAAATAATTTTTTAAAAAAAAAATCACTTTTCAACAAAATCTATTTTAAAAAATCCACGTAAAACACGCCCTAAAAATGTTATATGATGTATCAAAGTGGACATGATTATTTTAGTTTTTATTTTAAAGAATCTTATACGCTATATTTTTTTATCTGATCCAAAAATTACCGTAAAAAATCATGACATTACTAGAAAATTTACAATACATCGATATTTAAGATTTTGGAACGTGAATCAAATATAATAGATTACATATGATTTATAGCGAAAATGTTCTCCTGCCCGCGGCGGGCAAGCTTATCCTGCCCGCCTGCTGATGTTGGGGTTCTCACATTTGGAGAGAACCCCACGTAGGGTTCTCCTGCCACATCAGGAGGTGGGCAGGATAAGCTTGCCCGTCGCGGGCAGGAGAACGGGACTGTGATTTATAGATAAATAAATTACTATTATAAAACTTTTCACTTTATCATAATATTCCCAACAAAATTTTGGAATTTTACTAATTATAGAAACTTGAAGTAGTGCCACAACTTAACAAGAAAATAATGACAATTATTCTATGGCAACTTAGAAATTACATATTCTTGTTTTTTGACCAAAAATCTAGTTTCTTTTTTGTTTTTGTTTTTTTTTTCGATTGTAATATTTATGGATAAAACGAGATAAGTTAACTAAATAAAATGTCAATTTTGAAAAATGTATTGCCCGACTATTTCTATTGAGGTAGAAGATACTATCGTCAAACAAGATTTATAAAATTCGAAACTTTCGATTACGATTATATTGTGTCGTTTTACCATATGTTCGATTCTTCTAAAACTATAATATGCATCGCGTTGAATTGACTTTATAAAATAAAATATATAAATCATCTCGAATTGAAAGGAAAAAAAACATTTAATGTGAAAATAGACAGGATCAGTGGTTAAGAATGTGAATTTGTAGAGTTGGGGAATTATTTGCAAATATCCATAAAATGAAGGGGGGGTCGTCAGGAAAAAAATCTTTTAATTGATTTTGCACCACCAACTTTTTTCTCCATTTACTCAAAATAATATAATATTTATTTGGGATTAAAAACTTTGGTGGGGTCACAACCCTGTATTAGTATGCCGTTCAACCTCCGAAATCAGAAAAATAAAACAGTAATTAACATAAAAATAATAATAAATAATAATTAAGAGTCAAAATGATGATTATATTTAAATAATGATTGTATTACTTTATAAACTAGGATTTGTTTGCTGCCAAGACGGAACAACGGACAGACCCCACTAAACAATGAAGTTCAGGACCAAATCATTAATTCAATGAAAATAAAAGGGTACCCACTTCAAAATTATTTCCATCACTTATATAGGATTCCATTTTTCATTTATTTTTTTAAGTTTTTAATTAGGGATGGACCCGGGCGGTTCGATACGAGGTTTGTGGACACCGAACCCCAAAGTGGTTTCCATATCGAAAATCGCAAAAATGGAACATTGGTTCTATTCGTGAAAAAAACAATAGAACACTGGTCGGTTTTAATTTAGTTTAATCTTATACCTGAAATATAAATTGTAAATTTTCAAATAATATTCATTTATGTAATTCGTATAAATTATTGTATACTTCAAAGATTATAATAACAATTTTGGAAGATGATGAATCTTAGTTAAAATAAGTCTATTTTCGAGCTCCAGTTTTTTCTAAAGTTCATTTTTAAACGCATGTTCTTTCATGAGATAATTTTACACGTTAATTTAAAAAAAAAATCTATTTTTTAACCACACAGTCTACCAAAAATCAATATTTCAAAATCTATTTTCTAAAAAAGAAAGAAAGAGGGAGAGAGGGTGAAACATGACTCTTCTACTTCAATTTGGGAGGTTCTTCATTAAAATGCTCACCTAAAATTTTAAATGATATTTCCTATTTCTCTACTGTTTGGGCTCAATTTTTTTTAACACAAATGCATTTTTTTTTCTTTTTTATTTTCAACCGCACATTCTATCACGTAAATTCAAAATTTTTCTTTATTTTTTAATCACATATTATTCAAACAATCATTATTCTAAAACACATTTTCCTCCAAGAGTTGTGCTACATTTACACCCTCGTTTACCATTTCGTTTACAGAATTTACACTTGGCAAAATTTCATACAATCTTTCACAATAATACATTTAATCCAACTGCTGCAATTCTATCACGCATGCATTTAGACACCAGGGTGATAAGAAAATCTATACAAACATATTTTCCGTTCCTCCAAAATCTATGTATAATGGAGCCCAAACAAACTTTGGTATCTAAAATTTGTTCATCTATTCATTTTTCGCACCACATTAACTTCGTGAGTGAATAAGATTCTTGATCATTTATTAGAAATCAACTCAAAAATCATGTGATTATTGGTCAAGCTGCTAGTCTCAATCTCACGATAATAATTTCACCGAATAAAACAACTATATGTATGAATCGCTTCTTCGTCTTTTTTTTTTTTTTTTTGGTTCATTTGACGATGAGCCCTTGTTTGAGCCCCATTTTGGAGGAATATATTTTTGAAATTTGATTTTTGGAGAATGTGTTATCAAAAGATAAGAAAAAGTTTTCGATTTACTTATAAAATTATTTTATAGGAAAATGTGTTGTTAAAAATGAATTTTTGATAAAATGAGGCTCAAATAAGGTCTAAATAAATTAAACTCATTAATTCATTGAATTATCGCTCATTATGAAATAGTGGTACTTACCAAATGTCAAAATCAAATGAGTCCAAAGTCGTAGTGGAAAGCAGATTTTTTTTTTTTTTTTAATTTTCTTTTTTTGGAGATTGGGAGAAGGTTTAAATTCACACTAGGAATCGCAAGAGACAAGCTGGCTAAGAACATCCTCTACTGTATGCTGCACCAAAAAATATATTATGTCACCTTAAAATATTTACATGATAACAACAACAAAAAAAACGTGGGAATGTTAGCACACCGTCCACCTGTGGAAGGTGTACTCCTCTTAACTTTCATAATACAGGATATGTCCATTTAATTTTTTTATTATATTTTCACTCTTTGTTTACATC